TGCATCTTCTATTATAATTTGATCACTGCCAATAATATAATAACAGAAAAAAAAATAAAACTTCAACAATCTAATGTCTATAAATTCGATTGCCCATTTGGAGAACCTCTCTCTAACAATAATAACACTAATTTAAACAACACCAACATTGATTACACAGCTGCTATAATATCGCGCCGATTAACTTGCTACTGTTTGATACTATGTAGTGTATCAATTCCTAATATACAAATTATCGATTATGTTTATTTTTAAATTGAGGTGGCATGTGGAGTAGTGAGTAGCGGCTCGAATTGAGGAATCGGAGAGCCGAGTTCGAATTCCAGTCGAAACCATTACATTCACTTACATGCTAATAACCTTGGGAAAGGTATTAATCCTCTTCTTCTCCAGTTATCGGTAAACAGCAGGACAGACTAGGTTTAGGAGAAGGACAACACTGAATACAAAACCTGCGGAGGGTCGTTTTAGGACCTTGTGGCACGTAGTGCACCAGGTCTTTGTATTCGGCCCTTCAAAAAGTGCGGTTGTTCTACACAAAGGCTTCACCACTAATAACCAAATCATGTGCGCTGGTGTCTGGCTGTCGGTTCCCAGGAATTGAGCTGCTTGACCCTCATACGTCGAATACTACGGAAGAGTTCACCATTTATAAATTACTTGGACCTGATACGAAACTCTTGAGTCGGTTAGCTAGTCAAGTCACAATAAACTTTTCTTAGTCTGTCAATATTTCTGAGGTGAGGTATTATGTACATTATTTACATTATTCAGACTATTGTCCTCATCTTTGTCGCCATATTTATCACAACGCTTCGGCCGTTGTACGCTCCGGCCTTCTTCAGGTGGTTGGAATTTCGAACTGAACCCTTTATTTCATAGACAAAGAACACCATTGGAAAATTCGTAAACTTAAGGAATCAGCACATATGCTAGGCCACAAAAATCTCCTGAGCCGACCAAGCATAGAAATAAATACAATATGAGAACCAGTAATAAGGAGTAATAGGAGTGCCAGAGAAAAGCAATGATAACAACAAAGTTGCAATATGAGCTCTGGTAAAAACATGAAATGATATCAGCAAAAATTGCAATATGAGCACTGGTAAAAATCGTTGCTGAAGACATTAGGTTTATAATACCCAGAAATTCATACCTCAAGGACACATGGCACAGTGGATAAAGGCGTTGGTTAGATCCAGTGACAAGACCCAAAGAGTGTGAGTTCAATAACCGGTTAAGGCAGTGGAGAACTTTCAGAGAGAAATTAGCAGGAGATAACTGATAACTGACATCCATCAGACATGGCACGTGGAACTAGAACAGTCTACCCCAGTGAGCGAAATAAAGGGTTCAGTTCGAAATTCCAACCGCCTGAAGATATATGATAAATATGGCGACAAAGATGAGGACAATAGTCCGAATAATGTAAATAATAAACTTTTCTTAATTTATTGAATAATTTATTCATAGAAAGTGACAATTATTACAATATAAGAATATAATGTTCTGTGCGCTAAGTTGTAATAAGCCATTAAATACAGAGCGACATTGTTGTCAAAGAGAAACACTACATCCAATCTTTATAGAACGAAATATAGTGGGAGAGGTTGTTAAATGTATATCAAGGAATATATTTACTAATTTTTCATCTAATACAAGGCTCGACAGCCACTCAAGCTAGAGAATGAGTAAACGTAAGAGGAGGCGGTAAGGCGTGTTGTTTATGAGAGTTTGCAGAAAAGATAACGGTTAACCCAAGACTTGAAGAGCTCTTGGGAATCTGTTCCATATAGTAGTGGCTCTTGTAATACTAATTTAAAAAAAACACCAGCATTGATTACACGGCTGCTATAATATCAAGGAGAGAGAATAATAAAAGAATAAAATAATGAAAGAAAGTAGGTGTCGTTTTTGGAGTTTGGAAGACGATAATAAAACTCCTAAGGAGAAATAGAAAATTTAAAAAATGGCAACGACATGTAGATCCTTTTATGAACCCTGTATTCTGTGTTTACATGAAAAATCGCAAATTATCAGGTTCTTTGATAAGAATGGTTTATTAAATCAATGGCAGTTCGAATGGAAATTTCTTCTTCCTAATGGAGTATGAAGGCTGGTAGAATTAAGGAATGTAGCTCGTCAGAGGTTTTGCTATGGGAAAAGCAATAAAGTAAGAGAGGTTCGCGACGTTTCGTATATGGGAGTCGATTATAGAGTGGAAAATGATAAATGACCCAAAAGGCTGTGTAGAGGCATTTGGACTGACAAGACTGAATAATGAAGCCTGGGTAGCGCTGACCCAAATATGGCAGCAGTTGTCATTTGTTGGTCTGATCTGGCTCTTGTAAACATGTAAGATGGTTTGGTAGCGTCAGGTCCCTCCTACATCAGTAGAAGGAATATCGAAGAATCTAGAGGAAAAAGTGTGATTTGGAGCTACTTTTTATTGACTTTTATGATCATTTATTATTAACTTCTCTTTCTCAGGTATTTTCACATTCATGGCGATGATGAACGTTATTTTCGAAGAACTCCTGAATATTGTTCCCTGTCTTGAAGAAGAAGAAGAAGAAGAAGAAGAAGAAGAAGCATGGAGACATGTATTAACTATAGGAGCAACAATTTTTAGATTGAAATTCTGTGTCTTTGTTTCGAAAATATTAATTGTTCAGAGATTCAGGTCTATAGATAGACCGATAGATATATATGAACAGTATGACATACAGACAGATAGATAGATAAATAGATAGATATGAACAAATACACACACACATATATGTACCATATTTTAGAATATTACATCGAAAACATGTCAAAATCGCTACACAATTGCAGTCATGTTTCGATACGCAAACAACGCATCTCATCAGATGATAGTAAATTACTGTCGAGTGAACGATTTAATCAAATTTAAAGTAAAGTACAGCCCATTTTTAATAAAAAAGAAAAACGTTTTAGCTGCACCAATAATCTTGAGAAGATCATAAAGTTACGTAACAATAAAACTCTCGACCTATTTTATAATCTGAATCATAATACAAGATCTAAGGAGAATATTGTTAAGGATACTAGCCAATGTAATTGTAGGACTCCTGAACAATGCCCATTGCCAAACAAATGTTTAACTAAATCTCTTGTTTATCTTTGTTCTATCTCTACAATGGAAAAACCAAAAGTTGAAAAGTTTTATATTGGTAGTACTAGGTGGTATCAACATATAGTGTCCTTTACTAATAATACTTATAGAAATAATACATCACTTTCTAAACATTTTTGGAGTTTGGAAGATGATAATAAAACTCCTAAGGAGAAATGGAAAATTTAAAAAATGGCAAGAACATGTAGATACTTATATGAACCCTGTTTTCTGTGTTTACATGAAAAATTGCAAATTATCAGGTTCCTTGATAAGAATCGTTTATTAAATCAAAGATTCGAGTTAACGGTAAATTGTAAACACAGTCTACCTTTTGTCTTACAATTCAGTTAGATTTGGAATTTGACAATGTTTTTCTTAGATTTTAGTTGAACTGTGTTGCACCACATATGGCGTATTTTCTGTCGGTATTAATTTAGATTTAATATAATTTGGTATTAATCTCCTGGCAGCATTTGTAATATCTTTTACGGATGTATTGAAATTTAGTTAGTACTTTGCATTGATTGGTTATTGTCCTTAACACTTTATATAAAGAATCTTTAGTCAGCAGTTGCATTAACTGTTAATTTATGAAGTGAATCTATAGATTTAAATTATTTACTGGTTTCTTAAAGAAGCTATTTATTCATCAACTATAAAAATGTTTTTATGTAGGAAACTCATAAAGAATTTTGTTAGCTTACCACTTAATATTCCTTATGAAATGACAATATGTATCCATTCACATCCGATCCTGTTTAACGTCTGTTGTTGTCATTAATTTCAAACCAACGGGTCATGGCCCATTTATGGAAAATGATTTCTTAATTTTTGCTTCTTCCTTTAGCTTAAATTATACGCAGGTCATATTTGATTGGTGGATCTAAGCAATGCTTACAAACCTTGTAAACACCCCTCTTTCTTTTTCGTAAAATAGGCTGTATTCGTTCACGCGTCAGTAATTTACAATAACCTGATGAGAAGCATTGATACGCATTGAAACACGACTGCAATTATGTGGCGATTTTGACATGTTTTTCGATTTAATATCCTAAAATAAAGAATATTGATCCGACTTTTAAATTAAATGTTACGGACAATGGAATTGTACTCTATTCGCTCTCATTTTTACCTATATATATCTATATCTATATATATATATATATATATATATATATATATATATATATATATATATATATAGAGAGAGAGAGAGAGAGAGAGATAGATAGATAGATAGATAGATAGATAGATAGATATGCGGAAACTGAGATAAATAAATATGTAGGAATTGACTGCGATAGATAGATATGATCAGACTGAGATGGACAGATATTAACAGATTGAGATAGATAGATAGATAGATAGATAGATAGATAGATAGATAGATATGAACAAACTGAGATAAATAGATATATAGATCGATCGATAAATCTATCGATCGATTGATAGATAAATAATCAGATTCAGATAGATCAAAAATGTTCCCAGTTGATAATATTGTATGTACCAAATAAAAGTGTTGTTTCGTCTAAAATAGTCGGAATCAGCTGATGAAATTGGATTGTCTATTCAAATAATCTTTCCAGTGGGAAGCAAATAATGGTGTCGCAGAGAAAAGCTTTTGAAAAACAATAAGCGCAAAACATGCACTATTCTTGGGGAAAAATTGAGGAACTAATTTAATAGTACCGGCACTTGTAATTGGTACATCAGAGTACCAACGATGTTGACGCTAATTAAAAAAAAAAAGAAATTGCTTGTCAAATCTACTTGAGCCCTTATCACTCACGTGAGCCGAATTTGCTATCTATACTAAAAAAAAATTTTTTTCGCACTTACGAGATTAACAAAATATATGTCTCTCTTTCTCTTTTTCTATTTCTCTTTTTTTCTTTCTCTGTTTCTATTTCTCTTTTTCTCTTTCTCCTTTTTTCTCTTTCTCTTTTTCTCTTTCTTCATTTTCTCTTTCCCTTTTTCTCTTTTTCTTTTTTTCTTTCTCTGTTTCTCTTTTTTTCTCCTTTTTTCTCTTTCTCTTTTTCTCTTTCTCCTTTTTCAATTTTATCTTTTTCTCTTTCTCTTTTTCTGCTCCTCTTTTTCTATTTTCCTTTTTTCTCTTGCTCCTTTTCTCTTTCTCAATTTTTTTCCTCTTTTTCTCCTCTTTTTCTGCTTCTCATTTTCTATTTCTCTTTTTCTCCTTCTCTTTTTCTCTTTCTCTTTTTTCCTCTTTCTCCTTTTCGCTTTCTCCTTCACTTTTTCTCTTTCCCTTTTTCTCCTTCTCTTTTTCTGCTTCTCTTTTTCTATTTCTCTTTTTCTATTTCTCTTTTTTTTCTCTTTCTCCTTCTCTTTTTCTCTTTCTCTTTTCTCCTTCTCTTTTTCTCTTTCTCTTTTTCTCATTCTCTTTTTCTTCTTTTCTTTTTCTCTTTCTCTTTTTTCTCTTTCTCCTTTTCGCTTTCTTCTTCTCTTTTTCTCTTTGTGTTTTTCTCTTTCTCTTTTTCTCTTTCTCTTTTTCTTTCTCTTTTTCTCTTTCTCTTTTTCTGCTTCTCTTTTTCTATTTCTCCTTTTTCTCTTTCTCCTTTTCTCTTTCTCCTTTTCTCCTCTTTTTCTCCTCTTTTTCTGCTTCTCTTTTTCTATTTCTCTTTTTTCTCTTTTCCCCTTTCTCTTTCCCCTTCTCTTTTTCTGCTTCTCTTTTTCTATTTCTCTTTTTTCTCTTTTCCCCTTTCTCTTTCTCCTTCTCTTTTTTTGCTTCTCTTTTTCTATTTCTCTTTTTCTCTTTCTCCTTTTCTTTTCTCCTTCTTTTTCTGCTTCTCTTTTCTATTTTTTTTTCTCTTCTTCTTTCTCTTTCTCCTTTTCTCCTCTTTTTCTCCTTCTCTTTTTGCTTCTCTTTTTCTATTTCTCTTTTTTTTCTCTTTTTCTATTTCTCTTTTATTTCTCTTTCTCCTTTATCTTTCTCCTTCTTTTTTTCTCTTTGTCTTTTTCTTCTTCTCTTTTTCTTCTCTTTTTCTATTTCTCTTTTTTTCTCTTTCTCCTTCTCTTTTTCTCTTTCTCTTTTTCTCCTTCTCTTTTTCTCTTTTTCTCTTTCTCTTTTCCTCCTTCTCTTTTTCTGCTTCTCTTTTTCTCTTTCTCTTTTTTCTCTTTCTCCTTTTCCCTTTTTTCCTTCTCTTTTTCTGCTTCTCTTTTTCTATTTCTCTTTTTTCTCTTTTTACCTTTTCTCTTTCTCCTTTTCTCTTTCTCATTTTCTCCTCTTTTTCTCCTTCTCTTTTTTGCTTCTCTTTTTCTATTTCTCTTTTTTTTCTCTTTCTCCTTTTCGTTTTCTCCTTCTCTTTTTCTATTTCTCTTTTTTCTCTTTTCCCCTTTCTCTTTCCCCTTCTCTTTTTCTGCTTCTCTTTTTCTATTTCTCTTTTTTCTCTTTTCCCCTTTCTCTTTCTCCTTCTCTTTTTCTGCTTCTCTTTTTCTATTTCTCTTTTTTCTCTTTCTCCTTTTCTCTTTCTCCTTCTCTTTTTCTGCTTCTCTTTTTCTATTTCTCTTTTTTCTCTTCTTCTTTTCTCTTTCTCCTTTTCTCCTCTTTTTCTCCTTCTCTTTTTGCTTCTCTTTTTCTATTTCTCTTTTTTTTCTCTTTTTCTATTTCTCTTTTATTTCTCTTTCTCCTTTATCTTTCTCCTTCTTTTTTCTCTTTGTCTTTTTCTTCTCTTTTTTCTTCTCTTTTTTCTATTTCTCTTTTTTCTTTCTCCTTCTCTTTTCTCTTTCTCTTTTCTCCTTCTCTTTTCTCTTTTTCTCTCTTTTCCTCCTTCTCTTTTTCTGCTTCTCTTTTTCTCTTTCTCTTTTTTCTTTTCTCCTTTTCCTTTTTTCCTTCTCTTTTTCTGCTTCTCTTTTCTATTTCTCTTTTTCTCTTTTACCTTTTCTCTTTCCCTTTTCTCTTTCTCATTTTCTCCTCTTTTTCTCCTTCTCTTTTTTGCTTCTCTTTTTCTATTTCTCTTTTTTTTCTCTTTCTCCTTTTCGTTTTCTCCTTCTCTTTTTCTCTTTCTCTTTTTCTCCTTCTCTTTTTCTGCTTCTCTTTTTCTCATTCTCTTTTTCTGCTTCTCTTTTTCTCTTTTTCTCATTCTCTTTTTCTGCTTCTATTTCTCTTTTTTCTCTTTCTCCTTTTCGCTTTCTCCTTCTCTTTTTCTCTTTCTCTTTTTCTATTTCTCTTTTTTCTCTTTCTCCTTCTCTTTTTCTCTTTCTCTTTTTCTGCTTCTCTTTTTTTTTCTCTTTCTCCTTTTCTCTTTCTTTTTTCTCTTTCTCTTTCTCCTTTTATCTTTCTCTTTTCTCTTTCTCCTTCTCTTTCCCCCTTTCTCCTTTTCTCTTTCTCTTTTTCTCTTTCCCTTTTTCTCTTTTTCCTTTTCTCTTTCTTCCGCCAATTATTCTTTCTCTTTGCTAAAACTGTTTGAATTTTTTTCTCTTTTCTTTCATATCAGTCGGGAGATTTTTATCGTCAGCATTTTTGCTTCCAGATCTGGCTATTATATATTTCTTAATAATATTTGTGGTGGCCTTATGACCTTATCGGGTTACGGGATTCGCGATCGTGAATGCCATCTCTTGGTCTTAAAGAAGACAAGCCTTCATCAAATCTTAGAATCTGACGCTAAAGAAACACAATGATCTTTACCAATTAACAGAAACCACATCACCTGAACACTTTCAACAGCAGTAACAACAAAAATGGATATGAAATCGAAGAGGAAATAATAACATAATTAAATCACACTACTTCAAACAAAAGCTAGAAATGTCGTCCCTATAATTGCATAATTAAGTTACACTACTTCAAACAAAAGCTACAAATGTCGCCCCTATAATTACATAATTAAGTTACACTACTTCAAATAAAAGCTAGAAATGTCGTCCTTATAATTACATAATTAAGTTACACTACTTCAAACAAAAGTTAGAAATGTCGTCCTTATAATTACCTAATTAAATTACACTACTTTAAACAAAACCTGGAATGTCGTCACTATAATTTCATAATTAAGTTACACAACTTCAAACAAAAGCTAGCAATGTCGTCCCTATAATTACATAATTAAGTTACACTACTTCAAGCAAAACCTGGAATATCGTCCCTATAATTTCATAATTAAGTTACACAACTTCAAACAAAATCTAGGAATGTCGTCCCTATAATTACGTAATTTAGTTACACTACTTCAAACAAAAGCTAGGAATGTCGTCCCTATAATTACAAGAAAGTCTGATAACAGAGGAAATGAAAAATATATTTTCTTTAAATTCTTTTTAAGAGATAGTTTTTATAAATTTTCATTGAATGCCGAATGTAGCCTTATAAGGATTGATTGATTTATTTTTTACAGTTTATCAACCCTTTGTGGCTTATTTAAAGTCGAAACATATTTTAGGTCGTAAGAATAATTCTTTTTTTCGTTTTTGCAAGCGAATATTTCATTAACAATGCTCGAGTATAATAGTAAATCCCGCTACTTAACTCATAGCTGTAGGGAGGAGATGGGTTCATACCTTTCCCAAGGGTTTTGCGCTTAAGTGAATGTAACGAACCCGATTGGAATTCGAACTCGGCTCACCGATTTCTCATTCCGAGCCGCTATCCATTACACCACCCGCAGATCCACTGCTTATAAGGAAACGGATATTATTAGCATTACCATGATTTGTTTTAGCTAAAGTGTCATCTAGTTTGTTTGATTTCTTCTTTTGTGTGCAGTCTCTCTTCAGGACGTAGGGGATCATGGCCCTCCACATCATCCTGTCCCTTGTGGTTCTTAATATGTTTTGTCATTTTCGTTATTTCTCCCAGACCCTGTTCTGCCATCCATTTCTTCAACAAGTTAAATATGCCAGGCGTTGTTTTCGCCTGTTCCTCTTTCCCTCTATCCGTCCTGTGAGTATCAGACTTTCCAAGCCCTCCTTTCTCATTACGTGTCCCAGAAATTTCAACTGCTTCTTCTTGATGTTAAGCATAAGTTCCCTCTTTCTTTTAATTCTCTCCCAAACTTCATCGTCGCTCACATGTTCGGCCTATGGTATCCTTAGCATCATTTTTTAGAATCATATTTCTGTTGCTTCGAGTTTCATCTTCATCTTTGAGGAGATTGTTTAGCATTCACTGCCATACAAGAGGGCAGATATTACGTAACAGTTCAGTACTGTTTTCTTTGTTTCTAACGAAATTTTCCTAACTCTTATTACTTTGCTTATCTTTTGGAAGGTATCTTTGGCCATCCCAATACGTCTTCGGATCTCAGTGTCGCATTTTTGTTAGAAAATTTGCCAGATGTTTAAAATTTCACACTTACTCGATTTTAGTGTTCCCGGGCTCATCTTTTTGCTGATGACTATGCATTCTGTCTTCTTGTAGTTTATGCTTAGTCCCTTCTTCTTTCTCTCCTTTGATGTAGAAGGTTTTGTAGTATCCTTTCCGTGTCTGTTATCAGCACTGTGTCATCTGCATATCTTACGCTGTTAAATTATGGCTACCAATAATGATTCCTCGTAGGATTTCTAGTAATCTCAGAATTGCCTCGCTGTATGGGTTGAATAATTCCGGCGAGAAGACGCATCCTTGTCTTAAACCACTTTCTATTTTTGTATATCAGGTGCAATCACGTTTTTGTCTGTATGCGGGCAATTTGCTGCCAGTATAGTGTCTTGATTATTCCAATATATTTCCCGAATATTTAAATGTTTCTGAGCAGTTCCTCAAACGCCTTTGAGTAAACGATATGTTGTAACCCAAAATATTAGGAACAACAAAATATAACAAAGCACAATTAAATATATTTTAAAACACAACAATATTCGTTTTTATTCTCACCGACCAAGATACAGCAGGATTGGGTCGGGTAAACAATTCACTGTCTACAAATGGTGTATTGTCCAGCAGCCATGTTGTTGTCTGATACTCCCCTTTTTCCGTAAAGAGTCAATGATTCGTTATGGGAGAGTTGTCTCCCCTAACACTATGAAACATTATGAATCCTTCTGTATTTGTATTTCTCTTTCTGATAACATTCTAAGTATAAATATCGTGTTCCTTGTTCCGGTGTCTTTCACGAACCCGTACTGTTCTTGTCCTATCTCTTGCCTGGTTCTACTGCGCGCTTTAGTCATTAGAACTGTATTGTTCAGCAACCATGTTGTTGTCTGATACTCCCCTTTTTCCATGAAGAGTCAATGATTCCTTAGGGGAGAGTTGTCTCCCCTAACACTATGAAACACTATGAATCCTTCTGTATTAGTACTTCTCTTTCTGATAACATTCTGAGTATAAAGTGAGTGTCTTTCACGAACCCACACTGTTCTTGTCCTATCTCTGGCTTGATTCTACTGCGCGTGCTATTCATCAGAATTCGGATGACGAGTTTTGTTATGTGGCTCATTAGGTTGTTTTTCCGATGGATTTCACATTCATTTGCCTGGTTTCTTAGGCAGTGCTGTGAAAATAAATCTGCTTAGGTCTTCCGGTATACCGCCACTGTTGTCGATTTAATTTATTATTTCAGTAAACTTGTCTATGCCGAAATCATTGCCACAGGTTGCCAGCATCTCTACTGCAATTCCGCCTGGCCCTGTCGCTTTGTTTCTGTTCAATTTGGTCAGTGTGGCTTCCACTTCGGCTTTTAATATTTTCGGGTCGTTCAGGAGTCTGTTGTATTGCAATTTGGTTGCTATGTTAGGTTTCTTCAGTTTCCATAGTTTTATTCTTAGTTTACATATAACAGTATGGTCGCTTCCGCAGTCGTCACTGGGATAGGTTTTGCAGTGAAAAACTGCATTCCTGAATCTCTTGTTGATAGTTATATAGTCTATTTGGTTTTTAGTTTCTCCTCCTCTTCTCCACGTGCATAATCATCTTATGTTCTTGAAACCACGTGTTGGCTATTACCTGGTCATTGGCCGTGCACCATTGGACCCATTTTCTCCGCGTTGGTTGTTGCTTTATAGTCCGAATTTGCCAGCTATTTCCTCTTCCATCTCCCATGATAATTATAATTCCTTGTAATTTTCCCTGAGCCTTGGCGTTGTTTAGCATGGAGTAGAAAGATTCGATTTCTTCTTCCGTACTTTGTGCTGTCGGTGCATACACTATTATAATAGATATGTTGAAAGACTTTTCTTTTAGTTTAATTAAAATAATTATTTCAGATAACTGACAGTATCCCAGAACGCATTTCTTGATGTCTTGATCTAGTATCAATCCAAATCCTCTTACATTTTTCATTGTCACTGAAAAATCTCTGTTGTTTGGTCACCTAGTTTCACATACACCTAAAATGTTGACATTTAACCTGCTCATCTGCTGTTTTACATTTTCCAACTGGCCACATTTGTTTAACGCTCTAACTCTGGATTTACTTGCATTTAATTAATTACGTAGACAAAATATTAATTTATAATCACTTGCTTATAAAATCTAACAGTAATATGAGAAAACAAATATATATAAAGTTTTTTTCTCCAGATAAAACTCAGTTTTGAACCACGGTGGTCGACACTACTCAAACCTCTGGGCCATTTTTCCAAAATTTCGATTAAAATATCAATTATCTGGTCAGCGACAAGGGAAAATGCAATAAAATACGCACACACACACACACACACACACACACACACACACACACACACACACACACATATATATATATATATATATATATATATATATATATATATTTACAGAGGCTATATAAACATTGTGCTTACGTAGGAAAATTGACCCGTAAAAACTTACTTAACCTCACACATCTTCCGATAGCATGATCCCAACGGGTTTTTCGAAATTCCAAGCATTTTGCTGGAAGAGAAATGCCTGTACGATTGGGTCACGTTAAAAATCAGTTTATCTTTGAAATCAAAAATTGCATCTCCTGTGAATTCTTTAAAATAAATTTATTAATATCAAAGACAGACGAAAGCATTAATTACAATCCTGGATAATGTTATAAGACAGTTATTGTTATTAAAATTCATTAAGCACCAACATTTTATTTTCAAATTAATTAGGAAGAATTAATAGTTATAATTAATTAAAATTTTATATATATTTTCTTAATGTTATCAGCCGATTGTTGAAATCATCCTAAAAAGACGCTTCATTTCTCTCTCTCTCCTTCCTCTCTCTCTCTCTCTCTCTCTCTCATATATATATATATATATATATATATATATATATATATATATCAAGTATATGATTGATGTATACGGAATGAATTCCAATATGTATGTGTTGGTTTCCCCTTTTCCTCCCTCCCTTTTTTTTTTTCATAGAGGCCCGTGGAGATGTTCACTGTCTCGTCCCTTTTTGTGTATATATATATATATATATATATATATATATATATATATCTGGGTGCTTATGTATTGTAATCTGATTGTGTTTGTGTTGTTTTACGCGTGAGG